TTGGTTTATTTGACCTGTTTATGTAAAACCTTTGTCTGCTAACATCATTGAACGCCAAAGCTCCTATATGAAATCTCTTTCAAAGTAGTGTGGAGCATCAATAAAGGCTTTAGGGTGTTTGCTCTGGGATAGAGGAATATCTTGAAGGAGAAGCAATGTTATGTATAAATTACTTTGATTAGCATTCCCTTCAACCTACCTTTGGGAAAAGATGGCAACATAGGGCCTATTTGATTGTGTTTTGTTTTTTTGTTCTTAAAATTGTTTTGAAAAATAGTTATGAAAACAGTTGTTTTCTATATTTTTTTCTTTTTGAAAGTTAAAAACCAAAACAAAAAACAAAAACAACTCAGAGATGTTCTCTAAATTTGATTCTAAAAACAAAAAAGCAGTTATAATTTTCAAAACATTTTTTACAAAACATGTGCTACCAAACAAGTTTTTTAGTTTTTTTGTTCTGAAAACTAAAAAACTGTTTTTAAAAACAATCTCCCTTAAGTTCAAATGATGAAACTCTTAAGGTGACCTAGGATAAATGAGACCTATTTATTTCTGAGCACTTCCGGAGCAAAACGTGTAGACAGAGCAATCTATCTTCATAGCCAGGACGATCACTGGGAGCATAGTTGATTATTAAGAGCGGATGCGATATTAGGAACGACCAAGAGGGCGAAAATACCAACTAGAGCCTACGATTTTTTTCAATCTTGATTCTACGTTATTTTATTTCTTTATTGTTGTTAGTTGTTTGACGGAGTTAAGAATTTTTCAACCATCATTTATCTTTTGTTCTCTGTTTCTGTTACTGTTATCATCGTATTGTTTTGCAGCTATTGCTCCCGATCTCTTTACTTCTGTTCATTGCTCCCAATTTTCACGTTTTTAAATTTTTTTCAAGGCATGGTTCAATAAAACTTAAGGGAGAAACCAGCTCTTAGTCACTCAGATTTCTTGACTTTGTTCAATTAGCTGGTGACAAGTGTTTTTTTGGCTAAACCTTGGTTTGAGAACGAATTGGCTCCTTGAAGCGAATTGCTCTTTACTTATTGTTTGCTCTCTGTTTTCTTTTTCTTAATTACATTTCTTTTAAACGTCACTTTTATAATTGTTCCCTGAGGACGATAATCTGGGGCTCATATGAAACCCTCTATTACTTGATGCGTACACTTGCGCAATTTGTGTAGATTTGTTCTTTATATGATTAATTGCTACTCGGACAGAATAGTTGCTCTGCACTACTTTTGCTCCCATATTTCCTTAAGCACATCTCGACCCAACAAGTAATTGGCGCTGTTGTCGGGGATCATTTGGCAAAAGAGGCGTTTTAAAAGAAGTTTTTTCTTTGTTTTCTTTTGTAAAGTTTGCATTTTTATTTTATTCTTGTTTATATTTGCTATTTTGCTCTATTGCTCTTGATTTATGACCATTGTTTATGAACATTGAGGCTAGTGAACCTACTCTTGAACTAATATTGTTTTATCCAGAAGTTGAAAGAAGTTAGAAGCAAAGTCTATGAGAGCACAAATCTCTACAAGGAGCGCGGATCAAACAATGGGATGGCCAGAATTTGAAAAATAAGGAGCTAAGGTTGGACCAAGAGTACTGCGTCCTAATATAAGACTACAATGGTTCCCTAGAAAGCTAAGGCGGAGTTGGAATGGACCTTACAGGATCACAAGAGAACTACCCAATTGATAGTTGGTCCAAGAGCAAAAGTCGAGCTAAGACTATACATGATGCACTATTGGGAGACAGCCCATGTTTATTTCTTTATTGCAAGTTTAGTTTATTTCTTTTTATTTTGTGAATAATTAATTAATTCTGGCTTGAAAACATCGCAGAACATTAGTTTTGAGGTTGCTCTTGAGCAACTTGCTCCCAAACTCAATCTAACACTTAGAAAATTTTGGAAGGATAAACCTCATTAAGGAGAGGAGTCATGGATGACAATTGGTTCCAGAAGTTCAGAACCCAAGCAAGGATACAGTCCTTCCCAGATATATTGCTCCCAAAAGAAATAGTTGATGCTCCTGCTGCAAAAGAAGCCATTGACAACAAAAGGGCACAATTGTGACCCCGGGGTTATTCGTTCATCACTGATTTAATTTAAAGTTATTTTGTGGAACGAATGCTTGAATATCTAGATTACCAATTACTGTTGATTGCTCCTTGTTTTTTATTTCACTTTTCTACTGCGGTGTACCAGGGATTCACCACCCTGAGTTCTTTTAAAAACTTTTTTTAATTTTCTTTTGTTAATACCTTTTGTTGTGAATTGATATGTCTATGTTGATAATGCTATGGGAAATGATTACCCAATTTTGTTACACCTCTCTGACATGCATGATGCCCAACGATGAGTGGTTATGTTTGTTTGCTCCCTGTTTTTGAAAGTTATGCTATTTGAGATAAGGAGCCATCATGTTGTGTTCTAATAGGAGCATGAGTAGGATAACCCTCTATATTTTAACGTAACTTATTTGAGCTTGACTGCTAATTGCATAACTTTAAACTTTAATTGGTTGCTCCTAAATCATGTTTGTAAATTAGCTGTGGTGATTGGATTTTTTATTCAACAAAAGTCTGTTGCGCCTGAAACTATTTTGTTCAAATTTCTGACATATACAATCTTATTGCAAAAAAAAAAAAAAATGCACCCAATGGGCCTAAGTTATCAAAGGCTGGAGCAAGAGCAGCTCCAAGAGCGCACTGTTGAAGGTCAGCCCTATACAATGACAAGGGTATTTGACTTACAGAATAAATACCTATAAAAAAAAAGGGATGAATGCAAAATGTGAAATTTGTAAAGAGCAACTGCAGCTTGTTTTGAGTTTTATCTATGAGCTAACTCTAACTTCCAGATGTTGTTTTAGGAGTAATCAAGAAAATTTTCAAGCACACACACACCCCAAGCTTAACTCGGTGAACTTCATAAAACATGGGAGAAGTCTGAAGAGTGTAATTAGTGAATAATGTTGACTGGTTTGTGTTTTGAATGGCTGAAAAGTTTTAGGAGCAATTGAAAAACTCATAGGGCTAAAGTTAAAAAAGATTGCTCGAGGACGAGCAATATTTAGTTTTGGGGTGTTTGATAGCTCTTAAAAGTTAATAGCTATCTTGTGTATTTTATTGTTAAATTCCTCACCTTTTATTGCTATTTTTATTGCTTATTTTCATTTTTGCATTTAGGAGAACTTTTTTGTAAATAGGGCCAGAGCAACTCGCAGTTCTGAAAATTAAGGAGAAGCTGAGTGTAAAATGATTTATTTTTATTATTTTTTGGCTTAAGAAATTATTTCTCATTTTTAAGAGGCCCAATAACCATTTAGAAGAAGCCCAATTCAGAAATGAAACAAACATAGAGAGAAAGAAAGAAGAAAGAGACAAAGAGAGACAAAAAGGACACAAATTAGAAGGAGCAGAAAAAGCATTGTACCAGGATCCTTTTTTTTTCCAGAAAAAGCAACCTATGGTTGGTCAACACGTTAACAATAGCAGAAAGGAAAGGCAGGGAACATCAGCAAAAATTCAAAAAAAGAAGGAAGAAAAGAAGCTTAGGTGAAGGTTTTACGGCTGACTTGGACAGGAGCACATCATTGATTAGGAAGCAACTGATGAAATCTGCACCATTGATTAAATTAATGGCCAAGACAGCACCTTTAAGGAACCTTTCACCTATAAATATTGAAGAAATCACAATCTTAAGAAGCTTTTTGGCACTCTTAGAGAGAACTCTTTGTTCTCTTTAGAATTTTCTTCTACTTTTTCTGTTTTTATTTTCTTTTTTATAGTTAGGTTTTCATTACACTCCTTAGTATGAGCTAAGTATTTTTAGTAGGCAAGGGTAAAGTAGAAGTACCCCTTTTGTCTTAGGTTGAACTTATGATGTATTTCGTTCTTCTTCAATGAATTATATGTTGTTTATTGGTTTATTTGATTTGTTTATGTGAAATCCTTTGTCTGCTAACGTCATTGAAGGCCAAACCCCTGTTTATGGGACAAGTGTTTTATGGCTAAACTTTGGTTTGAGAACGAATTGGCTCCTTGAAGCGAATTGCTCTTTATTTATTGTTTGTTCTATGTTTTCTTTTTCTTAATTATATTTCTTTTAAACGTCACTTTTACATTTGTTTCCTCAGGACATTAATCTGGGGCTCATATGAAACCCTGTAATACTTGATGTATACGCTTGTGCAATTTGGGTAAATTTGCTCTATATATGATTAATTGCTCCTCGGACAAAATAGTTTGCTCCACACTACTTTTGCTCGCACGTTTTCTTAAGCACATCTCGACCCATTTTTCCCTTAAGGGAAATGGAAACTGAGAAGACAAGGATTAAGTAACTGGAACTCGAGACAAAATCTGAACATAGTCATTACAGCAGCTCTTACAATGAAAAATCGGTTTAGGTAATGAACTATCCTCAAGACTAAAGACGTACCATGTCCTGATATGGATGTACAATGTTCAGCACTGAATTGAGCGTATGTTTAGAATTGTCCAAACCACGTGTTAGTAGCTATATATAATTTATTTTATTTATCAGGATGAATTACAGAATTAATACATGGAAATGTCATGTGCCAAAACTATATTATACAATGATATATTTGATGTTTATATAAAGTACAATTCAAATATAGAAAGACGTTAAAGCCACTTTACAACTAGATTAACCGCTGAAAGTGGTTATCTCAGGTCCTCTTCAATAGATATTGTTATACACTGCTATTTTTCAATATCTTTCCCAAAAAAACAAAGTTCACATTGTAGTAACAAACCCGACTTGTGAGGGTGAGGGTAGAGGCGAGCAAAATACACAATCTTTTTATTATAATTTTGCAAAAAGACTGTTTCCTAAAGCCAAACTCGTAACCTCTCAACCAGAAAGGAGCAATTTTACATTTGCTCTATGCTCACCCTCTTTGGTTACAAAAACATTCAACCAACAAATATCCCTTTGACAACCGAAGGGCCACTCGAACCTAGCCTTTGAATCATTTCTTTTGAGGAAAACCGCTTTTAGAAAGAAGCCTTGATAAAAATCCCTTGCTGCCATTATCAGTGTCCTTCATTTTAGCACTGCTTAGATTGCTTATGAGAGACCAATGCATCTCAAAGTCTGGCTGATAGCCATTTTCCTGCATGGCTTGCATGAGCTCTGATGCCTTCCTAAGATTCTTTTCCATGTGATAACTCTTAATTACAGTGTAATACATTTTTCTGGTTGGAGTTTCACCCCAATGAATCATGTCCACTAGAAACTGTTCTGCTTGTTCTGTCCTCCCATCTTGGCACAAGCTTTGGACAAGCATTTCCACTGTCTCAATTCCTGGTTTGAGATTCCAATTTAACATCTCAGAATAAAAATCCAAAGCTATGTCCAATTTATCTTGTACACAGAATCCATGAATGAGAAAATCATAACTGGTGGAAATAGGAATGTTATGTTTCTTCAGCATTATGTTCATAAGATGAACTGCCTTGTTCAATCTTCCATACTCGCAAAATCGCTTAATCAGGTAATCATAGTTGATATTATCAGGAATTAGAGATTCCTCTTCCATCCTCTCTAAAAAGTTTTCAGCTTCTTGTATCCTACCACAGAAAAGAAGGTTTTCCACAATAGCTGTTTGAATGAAAGAATCATGCATCCAGCCTCTTAATCTCATTTCTTGACTCAATTCCAGGGCTTTTTGCAGTTCCCCAGCATCACACAGGGTGCTTATTACCTTCCTCAAGCTGCGGTTTCTTGGTTTGAGTCCCTTTGAAATCATGGTTGTCAGATAATGCAGAGAACTAGATAAATCTTTACATTGCAAGAAACCATAGACAAGATAACTATAACCAACATCATTGAGTACAACTTTTTTCTCTTCCATTTCAGATAGTATCTTATTAACAACCAAACTGTTTCTAGCTAACAAAAGATAGAAAATAAGAATGTTATATATGATAAGGTCATCAAGTGGACATTGTGCAAGCATAAGGTTCTTTAAGTTCAGAGCAAATAGGACTCTACCCTTCATACACATCAATCGCACCAAATACCTGTAACTTGAGAGGGACAGCTCCCAACTCTTTCTTATTGCAACACCAAGTAGCTCCCCCACTTTTCTTGAGTCATTAGCTTGGCAGTGGCCCTGAATAAGCATGTTGCACAGTTCATCATTGGGACCTAGTCCTTTGGACAACATATCACGGAACAAAGTATCAGCTTTCCCAATATTCCCCATATTACAAAATCCACATACCAATGCACAATGAACAGCATGAGAAAATGAAGGCTGCTCTTTCAAAATGATATCTTTTAACGATATAGCTTTGTCAAATCTATGAGCCTTACACAATTGAGGGATTAACAAGATTGAAACATCCAAACAAGGAGCCAAATTTCTATCTAGCATATCATCCAACACTGTAAAGGCTGGAGAAAATTTTCCCTCATTACATAAGCCCCATATAAGATTATTATAACCAGCATGATCCAAGATGAAACAATGTTGTAGTTGTTTTAAAACTACAAGTGCAATGCCTGCAAGACCCGTAGCAGAAAGTACTTCTAGAAATACATGACATATATCTAACCTTAGGTAAGGGTATAATAAAAGCATGATTTCAAGAAACCGTAATGCTTCCCCAAGCATTTTCTGATGACAGATATGGACAAGAAGATGTTTAAATTCCTCCAACCCTGGTATCCATTTATTTCTAGAAGCAATGTCCCAGTAATAATTAAGGTCCTTCATGTTTCCTTTCTTACACAAAGTCATGAATATGGCAGTATATGTCACATTCTTGATATGTAAATTGTTTTGAAGCATTTCATCCAGTATAATTCTTGCTTTGCACAGTAAGCCCTTCTTGCTGTATGCCTGTACAACCATATTGAGAGTTTCCTCGTCGAGTTTATGGGCAGACCGTGGCATTTTCTCCAAAAGCTTGATCGCTGACTTGATTTGTGACCGAGATGAACAAAGTTGCCTCACTAACTTTAAGAATTCTGGCAACAGCAATTCTTGTCCCCAACAAAGCATTTCGTCAACCAAAACTAATGCATTTTTAGGGTTATTATTGCTACATTCCTTCCTGACAAATGAATTGAAGTTGGGTACCACAGATTCTTCAAGAACCCTAGTAATGTGTTTCTCATACTCATCAACATCTGCATCCAAATATAGTCCATTTCCGATATCGTCAAAGAACTCTGTTTTTGAAAGTCTCCCATCATTATCTCGTTTCAACCTCACACTCAAAGGGTTCAAACCCAAAATCAGAAATGCCTTGGAAAGTGGATTCTCCATCAAAGAAAGTTTAATTAAACCACGGCTCTCCATCTCATGAATCAAATTTTTCACTTTATCAAACCGTCTAGACTTACAATACCCTGCTATAAGAACTCTGAAAGTTGAAATATCAGGTGGTGTCCCCTTATCAATCATCTCATCAAGAACATCACGGGCATGCTCTAACATACCTACTTTAAACAACCCACTTATAAGAGCATTGTAAGTATATATAAGCGGCAAAAAGCTTTTTGATAGCATAACTGATAAATAACTCAATGCATTTTTCATCTTCCCTTCATGACAACTCCAACCGATTAATATACCATAGGTTACTTCATTAGGACTAAAACCTATACTTTTTAGTTCTTGCATAAACATTCCTGCCCTTTCTACACCATAGCTGCCGCATAGAGAATTTATAACTCTATTAGCAGCCATTACACTCGGGGCACACTTTACTTCAACAAAGAAACTAAGCAAATCTTTGAAGTCCTTCCTCTCACAGTATCCAAATGCAATTTCATCAAAAACAAAGCTACTAACCTCAGAATTAAATGGCAACACCTTCTTCACCATGCTTCTTGCTTCCTGAATCTTCCCATAGATGCAAAGTAGTATCATAACATTCTCCAATGTGTTCATCTCAGCACCACTAATTGGTGCACTTAAATCCAGCATATCAAAAGCTACCCGAAATGCAAGTTGTGTTTTCTTCATTTGCACCAAGTGATCAAGAAGAACACGATAACAGGACCTCGAAGGAACCATGCCTCGACCCTTCATACTATCATAAACAAAAATGGCTCTTTCCAATTCTTTTCTTTCAACATACCCTTCAATCAAGTTATCGAAAATCTCATGCCTATCCGATGAAATTCGTCGACCCTCCAATGCAAAGAGCAAATCCTCAGCTTCTCTAAGCAACCCAACTTGCACAAGCAGTGATGCCATGACCTCGTACGATTGCAAAAGATGCTTGAAACCCATGTTTTTCTCATCACCCCATTTGAGAATCTCCCACAAAGATCTAACCTTTTCAACTTGAATCCCAACCCTGACACACTCAGATTGAAAACCCAGCAATATTTCCAGCACATGTTCAGGTTTCAACACGGAAAACCTCCAAAACTTGCGAGTGATTTCAGGTATCACAGTGGACACCTCCAAAAGGTGGCTTTTCAAAGAAGAAGAAGAAGAAGAAGCATTGACACGTTCCTTAACTCTATTATCCAAAAGGGAACACTTGGATAACAAAGATTGAGCAATACCATGAAAGTCAACATGGGACAAGTCAACTTGGGTGTTGTGATTTTGGTTGGTGAAGGTTAAGGGGGAGGTTGGTGATGAAGGGTGTGTTGGAGAAGAAGAAGTAATTGTTGTGGAGAAGTGGTGATGGGTTGTGGGAATGAGAGAGAAAGAAGAAAGAATGTGTTTGAAGTGTTGGTGGTGACGGCGCAGAGTGAAGAGAGAGTGTAGCATTCGATGGCATCGACCAAGGGTGGAAGAGAGGAGAAGAGCATTCAGCAAGAAAAATAGAAAATGTCTTGCAATATGTTGAAAGAATAAAAATTAGAGAACGATTTATTATTTTTATGTTATTTATTTCTTATACACACAAAATTTAAGATAGATTTTACTTAATATAGTTAAAATTAAAATTTTACTTAAAATTGGAAGAGGATAAAAAATTTTAAAACGTAAAATCATAATGTAAAAAAATCGTTAAAACATAAAAGCATTTGAAATAATGGTAAAATCATTTTGATAAAAAAATCGTGAAATCATAGTGATAAATCTAAATTTTAACTATTATGGTCCCACTCTACTTTTTCTTTTTCTCTTTCCCTAAAAGTGATCTCATACGCACAAATGAGTCTATAGGAGATAATAATTATGTTCTACTACGTGAAAAAACTATTATCCTAAAAAAAATCAATTTGTACGGTATAAGTTTATTAAATCTAATATTTATTATTATTAATAGTTGATAAAATATTATATATATATATATATATAATTTATTTAATAGTTCATTTTTTCTAAAGTTATTTTAGAAAAATTTGTCTAATATTCACCGAAATAGTGTCGTTTTGAGATAAAAATCATGATACATTTGTAATTTTAATTTATATCAGGATTATAATAATATTTATCATTCTAATTTTTTAATAAAAAAATCCCAAAACTACACAAATTTTTCTAAAATAACTTTAAAAACTTTATTCCCTTCATTTAATTAATCAATTAGAGTTGTTAAATCCTAGTGATATAAGTATCTAATAATAAAGATGATTATATTAATATATGTTAATCCTTCCTTATAAAAAATATATTAATAAATATATGTAAAAATAGTATGTATAATGTTTTTTTAATGCTTAGGACTTGGAAATTAAATAAATACATTATTATTTACCAAAAAAAAAAATACATTATTTTCATATTTTGTCTTTAATCTCTCTTAAGTCTTATCACAACCCGAAGATGCTCCTTATACACTCACATTGCCATTTATAATTAGAGGGCATCATTTTCCTATCCATGCTCTCTGATCGTTTTCCCTTCTCATATTCCCCCCTAACAGAATAGGGAATATTGTTTCCTAACATGGGGTTAAAGATCAGGTATATTTCTTCATATAATGCACCTGCATCTTCTTTGGTCTGTTACATGCACCTTGTCCCCAAGTTCACAGTCACGTGCGAAAAGTGAAGCTTAAGTTGGAATCGACAAAGGATATTTACTTGAAAATCATCAGATTCTCTGATTATTTTTTCCTGATTCTTCCCTATGCAGTTGGTTCTAGTTTTACAAAACTTCAATAAAGCCTCGGTACTCTCCCGTGTTGTCCCCAATTTTTCCTCCATTGCTAAAAACTGATTTTCCAATTTTGTGAAATGGAACAATTCAATGGGAAATTATATTAAAATCACTGATTCAACTAGAATACAGTCATATTGTAAGTTTTATAAAGAAAATAATCTCAATAAAGGCTAGGGATTACATCATCAAAAAATAAAATGCAAAAGATAACAACCTAAAGCAGTTAAAAGAGTCTCTTGTGTATATTAATAGTTTTTATATATCTATGCACAAGCCCTGTGCGAAGAAAGAAGTTCCACTAGAAAGAAAGTGAGGGCGATGAGAATCGGTACACCGAGACTCTGATACTATGTAAAGAACCAATTCAATCCTAAAGCTTAAACTATTGGATGAGGCTACATTAATAATTTTTATATATCTCAACAGATACCTTTTCCCGAAGCAGACTAGTCGTGAAGCGATGAACCTATTGTAATATTTATAAAAAAAAAAAAAAAAAAAGTCTCTTGTCTCTCCCATTCCTATCCCAACCCAAAAATACCTCTCATTCACCCATACTGCCCTTTATAACAACAATGTGGCATTTTCCTACCCATTCCCTATAACCGTTTTCCCCTCTCACGTTCCCCTCCCCTCTAAACAGAACGAGAAACATACTTACCTAATGCCTCGACGTGAAGTAGGGTAAAAGATCCACGATACTTTTTCCAATTGTACGCCTACATCTTCTTTGATCTAATCATCATTAATTACGAGATCAATATTGTAAAACAATAATCTAAGTATATGATTTAGCTAAAATTTAAACTAGTTTGGTAAATTCATTGTTATTAAAGGATTATTTATTCCTGTGTATGCATACGTTGGACTGGTCTCAATGAATGAGCGACGTTATTTGTTACATATATAGACTTCATAAAATAAGATATGAATGACACAACCATGTCACACCCATTCTTCATCTAAAACCATGAAAATTTAAGCTATCTTATTTGTAGTTTGTGTGAAATGCTTTCCTACTAATTATCATTTTTCTTTCGGATGATTTCATTATAAGTAAGACAAATTTCCTCTCTACTTTCAATATCTTTTAAGATTTTGCATATGATGTTTGTCCTATTAAGAAGTCATCATTAAGAAGCTAAAATAGAGAGATTTTAATTTGTGACTGTATTCCAAGAACGACTAAAGGAGGATGAACGAGGATACTTCCAGGTTCATACCCAAAAAAAATTGAAAATAGAGATATTTTCTATTTTCGGGATTGCTTCCATATCAACTTAAATGATATGACCAATACAATTATGCTTTCATTATAGCATAAATATGACATTTTGTATTCAATAAAAAAACTACTGTCATAATATTTTCAAATTACATAAAACAATATTCATAGTCAATTAAATTTCATCCCTTGAAGTTGTAGGTGATTGATGATGACCAATTGGGGGATGACCAGATTGTATGTGTGGTGGTTGTGGCGACTTTTTCTTCGGTGGCATAGGAAGGAATTGAGAAGGTTCATGTCCATATCCGCACATCCCAAAGAAGCATAATACCCCAAAGGGGCACCTATGTCCACATTTGCCACAATTAAAAATGCAAAAGTTTGTATTACTGCACAAACCCCTACAACACTGCCAATTGAATGGGCATCTAATCCCACAAAACCCACAATTGTTTTTGTCAGAAGTCACATTCACACAACGATTTCCACAACACATACTCCTTGGTGGAATTTCTCCATGATTGCATACCCATTGTCGACCATGGCACCCATAATGTCTTTGTTTGGCAACTTTCTTCAGCCAGGGTGAAACACTAGCGGCATTTTGGAGCAGTACGTTTGGCATTGAATTTCCTTCTATTTGGATCAAAATCAACACTAGCAATGTCACAAGTCCTAAAGCATGTACTTGTATTGTTTCCATCATGAATGTGTGTAAAAGAGTTTGGATTTTGAAATCTATATATACAGAAATTATGTCTCAAAAAAAAAAAAAAAAAACCTTTGATTGGGGAATTGGGATGCTCATGTTTTGCTTACATGCATGACAACTATGACTCGTGTTATGGGTGGTGGACATTGATGTTAGCCTTGTGTTAGGAAAATGCTCATAAGCTTTTTAACAAATGCATTAGGATTAGCGTGGGTTTATTTTTTATCAATCCTCAAAATGAAGTATAAATTTTGATCGATCATCACCTTTATTGGATCATGAGGCATCACGTTGGATGAATACTAATTCACATGAAAAAAGTAAAGCCTTTTAATTATTAATCGATGAGTAAGAAACGGTATGGACCGTCCACTTATCTATATATTATTACAGTAGAGCGAAATTATGCTTACAACCTCCTTACAAGTTACAACTAATTTGTTATGATTAGATGGAAATTAAATCAACGGCTTTTAGTTAATGTTATTTTATTGCCGTTTATTTGATTTTGATTTCGATTTATTTGGCTTTCACACTCAATTTATGAAAAAATTTCATATCTTTTTCCTATAATAGCAATAACAAAATAATTGTAAGAAAATTGTAGATATAACATACCCTTGTTATTATCATTATATTTATTATTATTATTTGAAAGCCAATTATGTATAGATTATTAGCAACTAAAACCTTTTCGTTTATTATTTTCTGAGACATGAAATATCATTCAAGTTTTTGTATTTCCAACAACAAATGAGGTCTAAGACATAGTGTAAGGGGCTGTTCCTATGCTAGAAAAGTCTAAATTTTCGATGAAAATTTTCAACGGAAAATATTTCATAAAAATTACAGATGGAAATTTTAACAGAAAACGTATTCCGATGACAATTTTCGACAGAAAAAAAAATTCATCGAAAACCATTAAAAAAAATAAATCAAAAAAGATTTATATTTATAAATTTTTCGACGGAAATCAGATTCCGTCAAAATAATATTTTTTAACTGGAGCAGCTGTTAAACCAGTAAAAGCATTGATTTACGGTTGATTAGCTGAAAATTGAATAGTTAATAATTAGATAAACTTTTTTAATATTATATGATATATTAATAAACTAACAGAAAATCATAAGAAATTAAGTTAGGTGAAATTTTAAATTAATATAAAAGGGTTTATATAGTCTGCAAAATGAATAATTGATATGTTTAATGTTTGATTTTATTTGTCTTATTTTTTAAAAGAGTAAATTTTATTACAAAATGAAAGGAGAGAAATAGAGACACAAAAATGAATAAAGAAAATAAAACATGAAATTTTAGGAAAGTACGAGAATATCATCAAATTCTAATTCATTAATCATACAAGTTAAGGCTTTAATGTTTATACAGTGAATACAGATAAGTTATCTATATTTATTATCAAAATGATATCATTTTGGGTTGAAAGATTAAAAAATTATAATGATAAAGACTGTTATAATCTTGGAATAAATTATAAAGGTTAGCTTTTTCTGCAGTTACTGCAGATAAATTATCTGCAGTAAGATCAATATGATGTCATTTTTGGATGAAAATTATGATGTTTTTGTAATTTTAATTTATTCCAAGATTATAACAGTCTTTATAATTATAATTTTTTAATCTTTCAATTGCAAAACGACATCGTTTTGGAAGTAAATGCTGATAATTTATCTGTATTAACTGCAAACTATGAAGCAC